GGGGGGGGGGGGGGGGTGTAAAACTTGGGGAAAACTACTTTCTGTGACTGAAAACACAGCCTGACCCTCAGCTGGAGGATGATATGCAGATATTGCTGCTAGATTGATTGCTATGGAGCCAACACAAAGCTTAAATTGTTTTCAGAGCTCACAAACAAGTCTTACATTCTTGACACTGGAATGCAGCAGATGGTTCAAGGAAAAGTTGGAGGTGAAATGCCCGACAGAAAACCCGTGCCGCTCACAATGCGACATCTCTCAGGCTTCCCTGCTTTTCAGCAGGCTGCCAAACATCTCTTTTCAGCACTCATCAGTCAGCTAAGCAGCAAGGCTGCCAGACAAAGAAACCTTTTTTTTGTTAAATGGAAGAGATAAGGTCTTACTGAGCTGATGTCTATCACTGCACTAAGATTTCTGCATTAAGAGATGTGCTGGTTGCTGTAGGACTGATCGTCCCTGTCTCAGTCAGCGGTTCTCTGTGAGGAGATGATTCTGTGCCCTTAGAGCACGTTGCTCTCAAGACTGACATCACTCTTGATGAATATTCTCACTGCTCTGCACAGATCAAGGGCAGGACCTTGTAGCAGTACTACCACGGACCTGAGGTATTCCTTGTGGGTTGGATGGTAAACATATCAAGTGTTCTGTAGATGCAGGATTATGATACAAGCCTTGAGCATCTAAGGACTAAATCAGAGAATTATCCTGCATCCGCAATGGCAGATGAATTTGCCAGAGCCCCGTGTCTGTAAAAGGATTCCAGTACCTCTTTACAGCCTTCCTTGAAAATGAAATACTCCTCCCACTTTAGTTTCAATGATAGAATCATACACTGCTTACTTTCACAGCATGTTGCAGGAACAGAGAGAGAGGTGGGAAACACAAGGTAAAGACACAAGCTGCTGAGAAATGCACAGTTGCATGAAAGGAACAAGTCTGACAAGGAAATTAATTTCATGTTTCTTCTGAGTTCTAATGGGGGGGATTCCTGCACTGAAATCTGATCATCCAATAGGTCAGTGGTTAGTAGCTCAAACGTTACCAGTCTCAGTTTGTCTGTGAAGCCCATCTTTGATACTAAGTCCACAGAATAGTCATTTGACACTTGAAATGCTTTGCAGGCTAAGGAGGAGGTTGGGGATGTCAGGACTCTGACTGTGCACTTCTTGCTGAACAAATGAATACTCAAGAGTAGCACCAAATTTAGTAGTAACAGAAGGGATTAATTACTTCAAACTCCTGGCCTCCATTGGTCACTTGTAAGGGCTCAGAAAGTGTTGGTAAGTCCAGGCTTCAGACACAGACATAAGCCAGAGAGCACCTCTGGTTGCTGAGAGGGCTGAGAAGCTTTGCCCTGACCTCCTGCAAGGTTAACCAGGAGAGAGGCATCAAGTTCTTGGGAGGAAACCACACAAACACGTGTCTCCACCCTCCTGACTGTGCCCAGCAGCAGTCCTCCATTCCTAGGAGTAACAGCCCTGGGAACACACACACAAAAGCTTTGCTTTAGGGATCAGACCACACAGCTTCTATCACTCTGCCAGCAGCCTGTAAACAGAGTTTCAAGTGAAACTCATGCAAGACAAGTTTCTTTTATTATTTTTATCCTGTGGGCAGACTAACAAGAAGGACTATCAGAAGCAATACAACCAAAGGAGGAAGATGGACACTGCCAGGCTGCATCTCATTGCTACTGGTGGCAAAAATAAAACACCAAAGAAATGATGCAACTCAGGCCCCAGAAACCCTGTGTCACTTGCAGGTCTCAGTACTCAGACACACAAGGAGACATTCTTAGATGTAATATAAGAGACTTCAGCATGCAAGACGGCCTGCAGAGCTCTGTGTTCCTCAGCATCACCTGCATGCCAGAAGGCCACTCTTCTGTTACTGAGACACAGTGGTGGAACCTTCAAAGACATTTACAGGGTCTGAACAAGGCGAACTTCCCACCTCAGTCTTCCTCCTCTGCCTCTTGCAGGGACTGCTCTGGAAGAAAGCAAATCTGCTTTCTCTGGAATGCAAATGCACGACTAGCCACAGCAGATACAATTAGGTATAACACAACTTTTATCCACCTAAAAACCAGCAGTGGTGTCTGCATTCAGTTTGTAGCAATAGACCTGCTGAATGGTTAGACCCTGCCTAACCATAAAACCAGCAGCAAACGGAACACAAACCAAAACACTTCCCCCTTAAATCCTCTGCAAAGGCCCAATTTCTTACCTGGTTTCTTCAGTGGCCATGTAAAAAACATCATCTGGTGCATCAATCCAGTTCATCCTCCTCCTTTTGACTGGAGGCATGGATCCACCACGAATTAATCGGACTTTTGTTGGGTATGATTTCCCATTGAGCAGCAAGTTTCGGCTTGGTCCCTAACGTGACACATAAAAAAGGACAGTTATGGACTGCAACAAACCCACGGCAGCACGTGATAGGCACTCAAAAGGAAAGAGAATTAAAGTTTTCATATCAGTTGTTCAGAGTTTCTGGTAAATAGAGCCTCTCTTGCCCATGACTGAGCACAGAATTCACATCAAAGCAATTGTCCACAAGCAATAGAAGATAAGCAAGCACCTTCAATATATGATAGGACAGCAATACTCCAGTGACAGGACAGATAATAAATGGAAGATGTTACCAATAATCTGTTGCTTTGTGTCTGAAAAATGACATCAAGTGTGAAAGACTGAGCGTAAGACTTGGATTTCAGCTACTGCCATAAATCTAGAGCAAATCTATTGATTTCAGGGAAGAAAATCTAGCTACACAGCAAATAAAATATAAAAATTAGAATTTACAGTTATTCTAGAGTACTAAACTTACCCATATCCTTTTTGTTCTAGGAAGGTTAGTATTTAATGATACATTGAATAGGTTGTTGCAAACAAATCTACAACTACAAAGCTTAGCAGCTTTCATGATAAAATCCTTTTAGCATTTAATACCACAGATTTCCCATATATAACACATTTGCTTTGCAAATCAACACAGGTATAATTTTCCAGACCCACAGTAGCCCTCTTCCACTCAACTGGAAAAACATGAGCTGTTAATAAAGAGAGGTGCAGATGCAAGGGAGCAAAGGATTAAGCTTCTCAAATGCAGCTGTCCTTGATCATTTGAAGTCCAGTTCTGCTGCCCCTCTTCCTGTTTGAAAAATCCCACTGAAATTAGTAACACTGGACAAGTCAGGAAAGATGCAAAATAGGGCCCAGAAAATTTCATATGAATAAATTAAAGCTGGTCAGAAAACATCACAGAAGAAATTGAATTCTGGTATTTCACAGGCCATACTCTGAGGCCAGACCATCTCCCCAGATGTACCCAGGCTTCCTCTTCTGCCCACAAAATGGGAAACTGAGAATGTAAACAAGGGATGTCTGTTCTGGGAGATCAACCTCAAAAGGAAAGGTGGGGACATGAGGTACTCAAGTCCTGAAGTGTCAGGTCATGGCAAAAGCTCAATTGAATTTTAAGACTTTGACTTAGAAAGTGAAGACTTCAGTCTGTCAACCAAGAAAAAAATGCCCAAAAAACTCCTGCATCTTATTTTTATCTGAGGAGAAAACAACAAATTATTGCTACTTTTTTTTTTTTTTTGACCAGCCTTAATAAACTTTGCTAGCAAAATCTGCTTCTTGTAGAAAATTTCGGCTTTAGAACTAAACAAACAAAATCCCACCTTCTAAAATCCTATGCTCTTTTAAAGCTGTTACATACAAGTGCAATAATGATTTAAGTTCTTAGTTGCCCAACTCCATGTCATACAAGACAACTTTGGCACCACAGCAGACCACTGAAACACTTCAAGAATTGCTTTTATATCTGAGGTTTATTAAGGAAAAGGTTTCAAATAAAAGGCTTTTCTGTTTTTTTGTTTTTTTTTTTACTTGCCTTTTTTTTTTTTTGGGGGGGGGTCTTTTTACTCCTCCAGATTTCTCCAAGAAAATCCTTTCAATAGTTTTGCAAAGGGTATTTCCTCCACACATGCTACATGCACAGAAGAACAACCCCAGAGAAGGTTCTTGGAAATACCTGGAAGGGGCACCCCTGTGCTTCCAGGCTGCCTTTTCTATACCTGCACAGAGCAATCTGTTTCAAATGATGCATTCTGAAAAGTGGATCTTTAATTTTCAGTTCAGTAGCACACTTTATCAAGCAACCAGAAATTAAGGCAGTTCAGGGTTTTCACCCTAAAACATGTAAAAAGTATTAGGTCATCACAGATTTCCCCCATTGCACTGAGTTGGTTGATTCAGCAGACACAAACAAGTAGCCAGTCTCCTCAGTGACAAGAAATGAAGCTGAATTCAAGGAGGAATACAATTTACCACTTCGTGTCAGATGCTCTAGGAACAAACCAAGTGAATGCTTCCTTATTACAAGCAGACTAGCATGCTTAAGTTATAGCCTACCCTCATGATCCTGCACACTGTCCAAGAGCATTATTAGATTTAATAATGCTTGTGATCACCATTCAGGGACCATCACTCATACCTGCTGCTGACTGACCCTCGCCAGAGTGACTCTACTGACACTAACATCTCATGGCAGTTCACCTAACGAGGTAAAGCTTCACTTTATCAACACCAGATCATAATTTTTTTTGGGGGAAAAAAAAAAAAAAAAGACTTCTGCTTGAGCTTCTCTCCCATAAGCCACATGTGATGCACAGCCCTTGTGCTGGGCCCTTCACGCCGAGGTGAACTTCATGACAAAGCATTTTGCCAGAGACGCATCAATCAGACTGGCTAGTTGCTTCTGTCCTTTGATAAAACTCAGCATAATGGATGAAAGGCTAGCAATCATTTTTACTCAAACCCCCTCCCCAAAACCATAAAACCCAAGCATCCTCAGCAGACAACTTGCACACCAACTTCCCAAAAAAATAAACTGTTATCCAACCAAACCCTTCCATCATTGAAACCTTCCTCCTCCAGTGAAACATGTTCTACCTAGAAACACATCCCAGAACTTTGCTATAAACAGCCACTCAGTTTCTGTATGAGCAGAAACAAAATGTTCCATTCAAAATAGAATCTCATTTATATCTATAGAGAGACAGATTGGAGGTTTAAATTGTACTTAACCACTTCAACATTTCATATGCCCCAAAATAATAATTTTGTTAAAACTTTTCAACTACTTGGGAAATGTGACCAGCTGCAAACAGCAAAGACGGACTTGAAACACTAGGGTTTAATGGGGTGCTCTATCTAGTGTGGGTTAATAACTCTTTTCCCTGTTTTGGTTAAATGAACATTCTCTTACCATTTGTCTGGTTTGTCCGTGGTTAGGCAGACCTAACAAACAGGAAAGAGAATAGAGCTGGTAAGACCATTGCTTTTCCAAGACAGAATAAAAGTACAAAGTCAAAACACACGCAGCTATGATTGCAACTGTGTTGTTTTGCTAATACAAGAGTTGTCTACCAAACTAACTTCTCCCCTCCTTGAAAGGTAGCTGAGAAAAGAGCTTCCTTCACAAAGTGAGTTGAAGAGCAGAGTCCACATATTTAAAACACGTCCTGTTTGCTCAGTCTTTTCTCCATTTACTCACACTTTTCTTCAACCTACTGCTAAAAGTACAACTCCTCATTCAGATCTGAGGTTTTCCTCAAGGCTTGGGAAAAACCTGCTGTTCTGTTTTGGAGGAATTTACTGACATCAAGAAGGAGCATGTGGAAGGTGTTACATACTATTGAGACAGAAGCCAAGAAAATCTTTCCTTTCATCCTTGGATCCCCAGGGAACTCATCAGCTCCAACATTAGTTACAAGCTGCTAGCAAACACTGTACCTGCAAAACCTACCACAAGAAGATGCTTCCATAGGTGCAGCTCCACCAGTCAGAGAGCACAGTGACTCCAGCTATCACACAAACCCCCTCTCTAGTAACACAAACAGCCCTGTAAAGCACTGAGCACAATGGCTTGATTCTACTAGCTTATTTCTGTACTTTGGATACCCCACCATGCTGCCACAGCATGGGTACTGAACTGTACTTTACATGTATGAGGCCTTATAGGACACAAAGATCTTAGGATGCAACAGAATTACATGCTCCCACAAGGCAGCAAGGTCCAGTACAGAATGGCCTGGGAGATCTAATAAACCTTTTTGTTAGCACCTTTGAGTTTTCTAAGGTGCATGCTCCCAGAAACCACCGTTCCATTAACATCAGTGCACCAAACCATCCTTCTCAGCTCCTCTTGGCTGAGAACCAAAACATCAGTACATCAAATCCAACAGGTACCAAACCCAACAGGTACCAAATCCAACAGGGCAGGCATCAGCAAATGCTGTTGCTGGCTACAGAATCATCAGTATGAATTCTGCTTCCATACTTATAGAAAGTTTCCCAGTTTGACTTTTGAAACTTGCCATTACCAGTGAGTTAAGCTGGGATGAAACTGCAAAACTTTATCAAGAATCCTGCAAGAATGGACTTTTACAGCTCTGTAACTCCCAAAAGATTCCTTGAGATCCTCCTTGGTAAAACCAAACACAAGGTACTCACAGATATGCCAGGAAACACATGGCACAGCAACGTATTAGGAGGGAAGAAGGCAGAATGGGGACAATTTCTGAGCACTGAGTACCATGCCAGCACATTAAAATCCACAGTTTCTATCAAGTGTATTTTCCATTCTGTGTAGGTGTATGCTGTTAGCTGCTTCAAACATGAAGACACACAGTTTCAATTTTTACAGCATTTTTGTGCCTAAGTCTCCACAAAGATGAAGAAATGGCTGCCAGGAAAACTCCCATCAAATCTGTGGGACAGATGTACTAGGCTCCAAGCAAGAAGACCAGTAACAACCTTTGGATGTTCACAAAGGCAATGCAGGCGCCAGATAATCACCCCTTTTTCATGGGAGCAGCAATCATATCCAAAACACAGCTGTAAGCAGCTGTTTGAGATGGATGGACAAAGAGCTCCATGGATACTGGGAAACAGCACAGCCAGCAGGATGCAACCTGAATCTGGTGGCTTCAGAGCTAAGCTCTAGCACTTGTCTTTTCTTCCTCTTTCTATAACAGAAAGATACTATTTTCTCCATTCACAGGAGTTCCGAGAGATATAAATCAACTGATGTTAATCCCTGGATTGAAGCCACACATTTCATTTGATCCACACTCCAGATCAGCTCTTGTGTGAAGAGCATTCTTGATGCCAGAAAAGGCTGGCCTACAGAAGGAGCTGATTATGGCTCCTGCAAAGACTATTGCTGGATATACAACAAAGAGCGCTTGCTAGTCCTGAGCACCAGAACTAACCCAGAATATTCTACAGTGAGATGTTGAGCCTGACACAAACTTGAGTGAAGGCTGAGCAGAACTGCTACCTACTCTAAGCCCCCAAGCTTCAGAGCCCTCAAAAAGCAAAGAACCAGTGATTACAACAGGGACACATCTCACCCCTGAGCTGTAACTTCTAGGACAAAGCTACCAATGCAACTTTTTGCTCCAGTAAAATAGGACACAAAACAAAGTTACAATTTCAGTCCAATTTATTCTCTTGCTATCACAATAATAAGGTAATCAATTAGCATATCAATTTTAGTTATCTGTGAATCTTCCCTTTAGTCACACTTTGATAACTGGAGTTTGAAAGAATAAATACCAAACCAGACACTAAATAGACTACCTTCATTTGCAATTAAAGTAACACACTGAAAACATATGCAGCCGAAGCACTGCTGCTAAATGTGCAACTTTGACCTGCTGTGGTCACCAAAGAGATGCAGAGAGACAGTGTAACATCTGTAACCCCCAGCAGAACAGCTGTCAAGTCAACATCATCCATCTGTACAGGAAACATTGGATTCTCACCCTCAAGTTTTTGGTGGCTTGTGTGTGAGAGATGAAGTCTGCAAGACAGGCATCCCTAAGAACTAACCCAGTCCTCTGTCTCTGGGTGAGGAGTGGTACAGACAGGCAACTGACCACATGGAACTTGGTCCTCCCTGAGGTGCTTGCTCCATTTTCACAGATCTAAGGTCTGAGAGAGACTTCTCACACACATGCATCCACTAGCACTTTATTAAAGCAGGACAGCATTTGAATATAAACCAGAAGCAAAATCCAACAGGGTTCTGGCAGCTCCTCTACAGGAAAAAAAAACACCAACCCTTCTTTAACTTAATTTCATGGAGGAATGTCTAGGGAAGCCACAAGGTAGAAAGTGTGAATATTCCCTCCAATGACATCTAAGGTCCAACTGCTTGAATTTAAATAGCTCCACGTACATAGAAAGAAATTGAAATATACTCTGAAAACTCAAACTTTTTTTTCCATAGCACTAAAAAACATTCCAGAGCCCTAGAAAATGTCCTCCCACTCAATTCCTTCTGCCAAACTCTCCTCTACACACTGAAATAAAGAGAAGTGCCAGAGGATAAAATGTAGACAAGGTCAGTTGAGGTTTTACCTGCAGATAAGCATAGATGACCTTTGCCACAAACAATTCTACCTTATTAGTGAAATGGCAATAAAACAACTAATCCCAGTACAGAGACTGACACCCTCCAAGCACACCTCCACTCAGCACAGCTTAGTGACAAAGATCTCAGAGCTATTCCTCAAGCACAAGCATTATTACTGAGATTTTTGGCTCAAAACCAGTCACAGCAGCTTATTATGCCCTAATGACCCTTTCATTCTTGAAGTATCAAAGCTGCACACTATATGCACTCATATACTTTCACCCAAAAAAACATAGGTGGGGAAGGACTAACACAAACAGCAAATAAAGTCTGTTACTTTGTAGCTTGGCTTTGTCTTTGGGGATGTGGGGGGACCACCTCTCTCTCAGCCAACCTGTTTCTTCTCATGTAATCACCTCACTTGGACCTACTGCTTTCAGTTTTATTTAAAAAGAGAGAATACTCAACCTTTAACTTCCTGCAGCAACTAGAGCTCCCAAGAGCACACTGTGGGAGTAAGAAATAGTTGGCATCAGCCAACACAGAATGGAATGGGGGAATCTGATTTTCCAGTGGGAAGCAAACCAGTACATCTGGTCTCACTGGAAGCCTGAGGGCAGATGTGCACACTCTTTGCTAATCCAGTCCCATGCCCGTCGAGTCCAGCAAGAAATCCTCAGCATCTGAATTAGCATTCAAAAATTACTCCCACCACTCAAATTCAACCTGTTTTGTTGTGGGTTTCTGCCAACTCCACACAATGCACAACAGCCATTTTGAAGAGCTGGAGAGCCTAAACCCTCAGCAGTGTGCCCAATGGAGACTGGTGTGCAGGGATATTTTCAGGAAGTTACTACAAGCAAGCACCAACAAGCTGGAGGATAAGCACAAACCACGGTCACTTTTCTACTTGGGCAGAAATCTTCCAGTGCTTGCCTGAACAGACACACTGTTGCCTGTGTATTTACAGATAATTTCCTAGTTTGGCACAATAAGTCTGTAAAGAGCTGCCCCCAGCACCAAGAAAAAGGAGTAGCCCAGCCTCCAGCCACCTGACATAACTTGGAGTTTTAAATTTGTATTTCCTAGAAATTACTAACTCAAACCTTCAGAATATCCATCACACACAAAAACGTGGTATCTTCATCTCATGTTAACATAATTAATGCTTTTTTTCCCTCCTAAACCAATCAGGTTTAACCAAGCAATGTGTTTTGTTTTTAACTTCCGTTTACCAAAGAAGTATCATGCAGAACATGCAACATACACTAAGATTCATAAGCATGTCTTGAGTCACAATGAATGCAGAGATCTTCACACACTCTCATAGCCAGCAAGCTTACAGCACTAAGAGACACTGCTTTTAAAAATCCATACAATCTTCATGTGTATTTTCCTTTTCCTAGAGTAATTCTCCTCCTAGGATTCCATCCTTCCCAGCAGTAACAAAAACATCAAGAGTACCACATTTGTGAGCAAGCGAAAAAAAATATGTAAGAATTCATGTGTGAATGAGGCTTGATGAACAAGAATTTCACTTCAAAGTTACTGGTTCACTTGAAGTCGTCTCTGTGAGTTGACATATACACACATACAGTCTTTGTAAACTAACAGGAAGGCTTCAGTACCCTTCTCTTTCTTAAAACAGCCAAGAGTGTGTTACTGCTGTGAGCAGATTGAGTGTCCACCTCTTAACAATCAAAGGCTAGAAACTCTCAGGAATTCAAGTGCAACAAGCAGAACAAAGCATAAATTGTATCAAACACCACCTACACTAACATTTTACTAAATTCTGTTGTATACAAAAACAATGTTAAAATTGCAATTTACTTACCTAAGTAAGTTCCTACCAAGATTGGCAAAGAAAAAGGAAAAA